CAAAAAAGTATCCTTTTAACAGCGTTTATCAAATTTATTATTCATAAATATCATTACTCTCCACAATACATTGAGGAAATTTGGAGGTAAAACCCCTGGTTTCTTTTCTTGACGGTGTAGTGCTAAAGTGGAGGCAATTTATTATTCATAAAGATCATTGCTCTCCACAATACATTGAGGAAATACATTGAGGTAAAAACCCCTGGTTTCTTTTCTTGACTGTATAGTGCTAAAGTGGAGGCAATTTGTTTCGAATTTCACACGTGTATCAAAGGTATTTATATTGGAATGTAAATAAACGGGGTTCATTAGTGACATCTTTCGTCCTCTTGATTGGAGTGATATATTGGACAGCATCTACCAGGTGCCTGTCAATACTTTTTAATTTTAATTCTAATTTAAGGACCGTATACACCAATACCATAGCTTTGATACACGATGATATATTCAGTGGAATTCTCTCGACAATTTCTGTTATCCTGGGTGTCTTTTTTTTATTGAAAAGTAGTTCTGTTACATGTCATACTTAAGTTTTCTAAGAAACTGAGAGATAAAATTTTATCATCGTTTAGCCGAAAGAAAATCACCCGTGGACCCACACAACAGGCAAATATGCACATAGGCAAACTTTGGCGACCCGTTCAATATATTATCTTGGATAAGCTAGCTAACATATTGACCAACACTCCCAGATGTAATCACTGGGCGGACATCATCTCTACCCTGAAGACAATGTATACAGGGTGAAGGCACACATACTGTAACTGGACATATTCAGCATGAATCAATGTAATAATGCACTGGTCACGCGCTTTTTTGTACGTGCATGTATGCGCGCGCGCGTGTTTGTGTGTGTGTGTGAATCTGAGCAAGGAGTTTTAACATAGAGTTCCTTGATCTGAGAGAGATACTATTGTTATTCTTCATTCTGTGGGATAATAATTGACTTCTATGAATTAATATACAGTTCATATTGGGAATATGCGACTTCAGAATGATTTATGAAGAGGGCCTTGTCATAAGAACTGAAGACAATCACCGTCATATGTACTGGTTAATATTGCTGCAGTGACCAGCACACACATACCACTATGAAATAACACCATTAGACCATCGTGGAGGTATGTTAATAACTAAATACTTGGCTTATGACATAGGTAATTATATCCTAATGCGTGGAATGAGCGTCTTAATCCCGGCAATCGTCACCTGTATTTAGAGGTCTCGCGTCAGCATTCAACATTCTCTAGGGTTGGGCACTGTGCACTGTAAGTTCTCAAATGTGAAAATACAGTTTCACTGGATCTCAGTTTTAATGATTGAAAAGTTTTTATTTATGATAGATTCACACATGTGATTTACCTGTTGACAGTTTCGTCTGTTCACTATGACAGGCTTGGTCACAACTCAGTTCTTCCTTCAGTAAGTTGTGTGAAGAAAACATGTCACCCACGAGGTCAGACATTTTCATTTTTCTGGATTTTTGATTTATCTCGTTGCTTTGAGGTATAAAGTTTTCTGTTTTCTCTGTTATGTTGTTATAAAACACAGGAAGGGTCTACTTCTGGCGTAATGCCATCAGCACAGTTTTTCCCCCGATAATTAAAACCTTGTGAACACTTCTGTATATCCTGCAACGTTCACATTCAGTGTGTGCTGTGATAAGAGCGTGGCAGAACTTAGTATGCCGCAGTTTACTGTCCAGACAACAGCGGACCGGAACAGACCCATTGTTGTTCTGTAAAACTGGACATAGAGCAGAAACCGGTTATTTAGTGTCACGGTCATATATCTGTGTTATCTTTCATCTTGTCAACGTGTTCCCTGTGGATGACAAAACGACCGTCTTGTGACACAGAGTGTGGAGGCGTTCGTGTGTGTGTGTGTGCGCGCGTGTGCGCGTGTCTGTATACTTAGTCTATGCTCTGAACGTGACCGTGTTCCAGACGTATGCTTGCGTGCACGCACCTGTATGTATATGTGGGGGCCTGGATATTTGTATACATGTACATTCATTTGCCCAAGTCAAATCTTTCAGATATCTTAACTATTGACATACTGACACACCACCCTTCCCCTTCCCGCGTGTGGCCCTGGGCCCCGTAACTCGAAAGCATCGCGCATTGCGACCGAGCGCAAGCGTCTTGATTCCATAACTCGCCCATACTCACCCCATATAATACATTGTAACCTCTATATCGCTATTCGCAATACTATGCTTTCGAGCTACGGGGCCGTGTTCTACACACCACATACACTGCGGGCTGATGTTTACTAGTACGTGTAGGGAGTACCAGCCAAGTTATGTGACCTAGATGTAATCACTGGGGAACTGTACTCATGTTTTGGTATTTTTGTTATTCCAGATGCGAGGTGTTTGACTGGTGAGAAGAGCTAAGAGATACACAAGCAGTACCTGGTGAGCTATTTCTGCCGGACACCTGCCGAAATGGACGCTAAAAAAGGTCAGTGTTTGTATTTTAAATGTTTTAGTGTTCCGTTCTAATGAGGTCCGGCACGTTGAGACGGTGAACCTTTGACCACGTGGGATGGGGAATATTGAGAACTGTAGAAGCTATAAACAGAGAGAGAGAGAGAGAGAGAGAGAGAGAGAGAGAGAGAGAGAGAGAGAATGAGTGGATGGGTGTGCAAGACACGAGTACAAACGAAAGCCTGTCGGTTCTCCTATTTTCACAGGTCAACAACTTGCTGGCTAACATGACAGGGTTACGTGACAGGTTTTTGTATTTCGAGCACATATAATTTACTTACAAACACTTGTCATTAACAATAATGTACAATATCACATCTGTTACGGGACAAGGTGTGCTACTATTACACCTGAAGTGACGTGTAGTTTTAAACCACGTACGTGGTGTATTTTAATCTACATAGTATACTGGTGTATAGGGGAAGATAATGTACAAAATGTGTACGACTAAATGCCCATGATGCGATGTGAATAGTAAATTAACACGAAGACAAACATTTGGCCCGCATGCCGCGTAAAGAGACAAACTTTGGAGCAAAACATGCACCGTTTATTTGTTGAAAAGAGATTTTAAATTAGAGAACACACCACAAAAAAGGCAGCAGAATCTAAATCTGGCTGTAATTTGGTAGACGCACTGCAGGAGTACGCTAACTCATTTCTGTCGACCTACATTTCAAATACATGATATCCGCTCTAAAAACTCTCCATATGGAAGTCAGTTATTGCAGGAAGACAGTAATCTGAATAAGGTCCCAGGCATGATGTGGTATGTCATAAGTTGTCAACATTTTTTTTTACTGATTGTAGATCTCAACTGCTGCATTTGAAGACTATCTGTATCCGATCGCTCAGTAGTTTCTTGTTTTCTGTTCTCAGACACTTTTATACTTCGCCCCATTAATTTTTTCTGCTGCTGCAATGTACATGTTAGGGTTAAAGAACTGGGGAATCCTTAATGCTCAATGTAATGGCACCGCGCAGGTTATCGTAGAGATTTCCACTGTCAACTTATCACTGATGGCACTATTAGGAGTGTGTACTTAGAACAATAGACATAAAACCAGAGTGCGTTTTATGCAGATTACAGGATATGATGAGCACTTAGACAGGTGATTGTAATGTTTACAGTGTGTGCATGATTCAACGAAGTATATGAGTAATAAAATAGGTAAGATAGATTGAGCTCCGGTTCCGTTATAGTCCATTAGAGACCAAATCTACCCGTAAACCTCTGTAGATCCCAGTAGGGAATGGAAAGAGAAATAAAACCTGCCCAATTAGATCGAATAGATAACTTCACCATTTCTGAAAATCATTTTGTTAAACATTGGTTGAAATAGTAACAACATTTATGTGGAAGATATTTCGTCGTGGCATTCTCTTAATTGTATAATTATACTAATTTTTTTCGATTTCTTTGTCTTGATATACAGATATCCGTGGATCCGGTATGTAGACCGCTAGACATGCACTAAAACACTTCACACATATATACTGCTCATACAATATGACAAATACGTCTCAAATACTGGCGTGTCACGTGATTTATCTTTTATTTGAAGCATGCAATTTATGCTTGTATAACATTTATATAATTATATCTCAGTTTAGTATTGTATAATCTATTTATTTGGTTGCATTCTTGGCCTGCTGATATTCATTTTATGATAACTTGATATAAGTCTTGATATCAATAAGTATTAAATTCTGATTTTGGACAGTTGTTTTTTTTTTAAATAATTTTTGTCCCATTTCTCTGCCGTCATAACTTTTTTTATCTCTGCAGTTCTGTTGGGTAATATCTAGAATCAAATACTTTTATGAAGCATGTTGTGTTGGACTTGACTTTTTTTTTTTTTTTTTTTTTGG